TTTTGGTTGGATGCCGTGTTGGTCTAAATGTTTTTTCGTTTTTTGTCCGCAAAAATTTTTTTTGTCCGCAAATTTTGTCCGCAAAAATTTTTTTGCGGATTTTTCCAATTTATTAATAAAAATTTTTTCCTTTAATTTTCAAGGACTTTTGGCGAAATTGAAGCAGTCTATCAAAGAACTCATCTTCAAATGACCGAAAAAATGACAAAGATGATGATGAGCAAGTATCCGGAAATATCAGATCGATTAACTTCCACAAATTTTTATATTCGCTATGTGAAGGATGAACATGCGGAGAATGCAGTTAGGGCAATGAATGGTACAAGATTAAATGGGCATGTTCTTAGAGTGACTGTTGGTGCAAAAAAGGATGTTGATCACAGAAGGTTCGGAAATAAAATTTTATTTTGGCTCACAGCAGCTTATGAGTCCAATCGCACTTTTGCTGGTAGAAACAATGCTAACTATCCGCAGCTAGAGATATTTTTATGAATTTGAGTCTGAGTTTTGTGCAGCAAGCTTTTCAACTATGAAGAAAACTCATACTCAAATGCCTGAAAATATCTCTAGCTGCAGGTAGTTAGCATTGTTTCTACCAGCATTTATGAGTCAATTCAAAATGTTTGGGTTTTTCTTTGTGTTTCAAAGTTGAGGTATGGTTCCAAAACATTTCTTTGGGTTCGGGAACGCCCAATGGGTCTGGGGCCGTTCCTTGCTATGTTTCGAGAAATTCTGGAAAGTTATAGCCAATTTTTAAAAATTTCGGAGAAACAATTATAGCTTCCCGAAATTTGAGGAATAGGGAAAGGAACAGTCTTAGACCCAGTGTGTGTAAGTCTTGCATATGAAGAAATGGTTTGGGGTCATACCCCACCTTTGCAACACCAAGAAAAATCGAATTCTTTTTTGATTGGACTCATAAAGATTGATTGGACTCAAAGTCAAGTAGTGGCTATTTTTTCAAGCGAATTTTTTGAAAAATTTTATTTTTTTGATTTTTTTCCTAAAGTTTTCAAATAAATTTTTGAAGTCCACTTTATATTTCTTGCATATTTTTCAACAAATTTTCAGGTCAATTTTTGTTGGAAATATTCCCCATACAACACTAGACGAATCAGTTCGAGCTTATTTCTCTACTTGTGGCAAAATTTCTGCTCTACGTTTACTTCGAGATAAACAGACAGGATTGGTTAGAGGATCTGGTTTTGTTGAATTTGTTGAGTCTGATTCTGTCCAAAAAGCGTTGGAATTGAATAATTTGCCTTTTGAAGGAAGAAAATTGAGAATATCTAAAGTTTATAAAAAGAATAAGGTTTTTCTTTGAAATTTTTTATTTAAAAAATATTTTTAAGTTGGAAAAGATTTCAATTAAAAATGAGAAGAAAAGGGAGAATTTAAAAAGAAAAATGCCTAAGGCGCCTAAAGGAGCTGAAAAGTAAGGGAAAAAATTTTTTAAATTTATTTTAAACTGGGAGGTAATTTAAATGACTCTTGTCCAGTTACCCGGTTCTTCAATTTAGTACAATAAAATTTATGGGAATAGAAAACTCTACTCACCCAGATACGGATATTACCCGCCTATAGGTTTTAACGCACAGAACCGGGTACTTAAAAAATGTGATTGGACGTATAAAATATGATTGGACGTTTAAACTGGACAAGAGCCATTTAAATATAGAGATCGGATAGGGCCGTACTACTGACGATATTTTTTGGTATCTATCAAAGTTCCGATTGTTAGTGCATTACGGAATACTGTACAATTCAAAATTTCGGTTTCTACTTTAAAGGAGAAAAATCTTGGAAATTTTTTCGATTAATTAATTTTTTTCTAGTTTTATGGTCCTCAAAAGAGGAAGATTTGAAGGAAACGGCAATTTCAACAGGAATCAAAATAAAAATAAATTTAAGGAAGAGAATAAATTAAATAATAAAGCCAATAAAGAAGAAGAAAATATTAAAAAAGAAAAGAAATTTAATAAAAATAAAATTGTGGACAATAAAATTAAAAAGGGTAAAAATTTAGTTTTAAAGAAACAAAAAAGTGGAGGATTGAAGGGAAATAAGAAAAGAAAAAGTTTAATTATTTAAATTGAAATTTGTTTTTAAAATTTTGTTTATTGTTATATTCTTAAAATATTTTTTATAAATTTATTTTATTTGTTTTTTAAATTAATTTTAGTAGGGTTTTTAACTTTAGGTAAGAATTAAACTTATTCTTGCATAAGTTCCTTATTCTTAGCTTAAGTTTGTAAACTTAAGTTTTCAAGTTTAGGCTTTAAATAAACTTTATCTTATATTCAAGTTTATTTAAAAATTCCAAGTTTTTAATTGTTTAAGGGAAATTAAAGTTTGTATACTTAAGTTTTTGAGTATGAACTTTATTTTATGTTCAAGTTTATTTATTCTATTCTAAATTTTTAATTGGTTAAAGGAAATTAAAGTTTGTAAACTTAAGTTTTCTTCAAGTTTTAATTTTATTATCTGCTCAAGTTTATTTAAAATAGGTTGTAAACTTAAGTTTTCAAGTTTTAATTTTTGTATTTTTTAGTCAAGTCTATTTAAAAATTTAAAGTTCTTCCCCAAATTTATATTTTTAAGTTTATAAACTTTTTCCTTTGAGATCTCTCGATACATATTATTAATTTCTCAAAATTATCTCTAAAGATTTTATATGTTCTACTGCAGCTCTCAACAATTTTAGTTTGGAAACACGTCTTTTCCTTCCTCTCATTTGTGGCAAACATGCACGTAGCATTAAAAATGCCTTAAATTGAAAAAAAATTTTTTCAAAAATTTTTTTTGAATTTTTAAGGGGTTCGGATTTTCAAAAAATCTAAGAAAAATTTTTTTCTAAATACCCCAACTTACCTTGTTAACATAAACAACACGTTCTCTTTCACGTATATTTTTTAAATGTGCTCTCCTCAGTTTGCGATGATCTGTTATTTTCATTTTTAAATAGAAAAGGAGAGAAAAAAAAATTAATTTTAAGCCAGGAGAAAATTCAAGTTTGTAATCTTAATAAACTTGGAAAACGCTTTTAAGCTTATTATTAATAAAACTTGTTTTGCAGGTGTGCGCTTTCTTGCCATTAAAATTTTACCTTTCCCTTGTCAAACTTATTATTTTGCCAAGTTTGAGAACCCCATAAAAACGGCCATTAAATAAAACCAAAAATGCCAATACTTTTATTAATTTTATTACAAAAAATATTTTTGAAGGAAATTGAAAAATCGAGAGAAAATATTTTAAAAATTACGGAAAATTAAAAATTTTTTTAAAATCCTTGAATCGAGTTAAGCACAATTAAAGTCATCCCTTTAATCTTTTCAATCCGTTCTCTTCAATCCCAAAATTCTCAGTCAAGGGGGTAACTGATTGTGAGTCCGACTGTACTCCATGCAGTTTCTCTATTTCACTGTAGAGGTATTATTAAGAGATATTCGTGCTCATCTCAATCCATTTTCCTTGTAGTGTCTACAAAAGTAAGAGCGAGGTAAAAGTTTAATTCCGGGCAATCTTCGATCTTGCGACCTCCTGGCAGTTATTGCTAGGCGATTTCGCTCACCACGTATATAGCTGCTCTACCAATTGAGCTACCGGGACGTTGCCTTCACCTTTCTTGAACCTCCGACTAGTGAGCGTTTTAAATGCTAGCCTGGTGGATCTTTCTCTTCCTTACACTAACGAGTGTTGCTCTAAAGTTGATTGATTTTTGAAGTTTGCAAAATTTAAATTAAAAAATAATTTCCTTCTATTTTTCCCATTTATTTTTATTTTCTGACCCCCTCCCTTCAATCCCCTCTTTATCTTCTCATGTGCCTTTCATTCATAAAAAAATAAAGAAAAATTTATTCGGCTAATTTTCTCTGTGTAATATTATCCCCCTTTCCAGTCACTCCTTCAATAGCCACACATATCCTCTTCTTTTGATGACTTTTTTGTTGATTGGCCTTTTTGACCGGTCGGTAGAAGAATGCTTGAAGGAAAGGGACTCCGTTCCTTTTTTAAGCACTCAAAAGTCGGCCTTCTCTGTAAATTAATATTTTTAAAAAATATTTATTTGGAAATTTTTTGATGGAATACCGCTCCCTTTTAGACACAACAGAAAAATACTTGAATGGACTCTGAGTGGGCACGTGAGGAATTTTTTTAGATGAAAGAGAATAGAAAGAAAATTTTCGTGAATGCCATTAACTGATTAAATTACCTTTAATAAAAGGTTAAAAGAGAATTTAAGAAAGTTTCAAAGGAAAAATCGTTTAAAATAGTGCAGCACCCTCTGAGCCTTGGAGGTTGGAAGTGTCGGGATGTTTGTAAAATAAATTTAAAGAAACATGAATTTTCTAAAGATCAAGAGTTTTAACATTTGGCCCCGCAATGAGGACACACACGGTTATAAACCATTCAAAACTCGGGTACACATCTTGGAAACAATTCAATTTACCAAAACTAAAAAACAATTCTAAACAACAATTTATTTACAAACTAATACACGACTACAAACGACACAAAGAATATATGGGGTATAGGGAATGGGAACAATATACATATTAGGGCATAACAAAGTAACAATATACAGAATATCTCATTTTTATATCTCAAGTGTCTGTCACCTTCAGAACTTCTGGGCATACAATTTACACCATACTTCTCTTGTCATCGATGCTGGCCCCGGGAAGCAATGGCTTATCGACGACTCTCTTTGACTCCCCATATTCAATCGCAGTTGTTGTTCCATCGATCACTTCGAACGGATTGATTTTCTTTTCCTGAAATATACAAATGATTAGTTGACACTCAAAAAATTATTATTCACCTTTTTCCAATCCTGGAAACTCCCAACGCCATCATATCCCTTTTTAGTCAATTCCGGAGCATATTCGCGATCGTAGATCTCTTTGTCCCTATGCTTCACAAACTCGTCTAAGAGGAACTGCAACTTGTCTTTGGTCTTCTCCTTCTTTGCCCTATTCCACATTGCAACGGCCAATGTTTCAATCGGAACGCAATTGAATAGTGACCCCAAATCGTCCAATTTTTTCTGAAAATTGGGGAAATAATTTTTAGTAAATAGGTAGTTATAATTTCTAAACTCACTTCTTCTTTCCATGCCGCAAATGTCTTGATCTTCTCCCCAACTTGTGGTTCAGCTGAGTACACACCATACAGGTACTGCTCATACTTGGTACAGGTCATACATTCTTTTTCGCAACTGTGTTTTCTCTTCTTCCAGGACCGTGCGAACCATGCCAAGATTCCAATGATGATTAAGCCTTCAATAATAGCGGCAACCAAAATCAGATAAAACAGCCATCCTTTGGATTCCTCCGGATACTTGCTGTCCGCTGGATACTTTGTCGATGGTGATGAGATGTTTTTGACCGCAGATGTTGAAGTCTCTGGAGTTGGAGTCTGAACTGGATTCAAAGGACAAGGAGCACACGTTGTAGCCGCTGGTTCAGTCGGACAGATGTTTGGTGTCGGTGTAGTTGTCGTCGTCGTTGTTGCTGGCGGATGGACAAACAGCAGTTCGTAGTATGTTCTGTCCTAAATTTAATAAATACAATGAGGTTTTTCAAAAAAAAAGAAACTCACAAATTGGATGAAGAGATCACAATGCGGCCCGGGTGGTGGTTTACCCGCGAGGTTTTCACCATCAAATACAACAGACGCATTCAATGGAAGCAGGCTGAAGACGAGATATTCGCCTTTCAGATCCTTGTCTGTGATGGTCCATGTTTTCGGTTCAGCAATGGGCTTGCCCCCTAAAACGCAAGCAATATCCACATGATTATTGAATGTCTTCTGTCCGTCAAACTCCATCGTGAATTCACTTGCGCTCTTTAACGTCATGTTGAAAACGAGTATATATTCATCTTTTATAAGCCTTCTAGACTGCTTTATGCCCGGCTCAGCATCGCCAACTAAAATCAGAAAAATAAAGAATTTATTTTGTAATTATTGATATTATATATTTTTTTTACCTAAACGTGTGTAAGCATAAACATCAGCACCTTTTTTGCTCCATGAGATTTCGAGAGGCGTCCACTGCAAGCACTTTCCTCCGCATCCACTTTTGCATCCTCCGTTGGGATTTACGTTGAACTTCGTTGAACCTTTGCTGAGCTCTTGGATGACCTCATTGTTTTGGCTGTAGACGAACGGCATACTAAAAGGCTGAAATCAAATCTTTTCGTTGAATTCAAAACCTACATATTGTTAAAGCTATGCTGTACACTGCCACCAACATCAAGACATTTGAGCCCCATTCTTTTGTTCCTCACTCCAGCTGTGAACTTGATCTTATTGTTGTAGCCTTTGTTCTTGCTGAGCAAGTCCACATTGCATCCCGTGCTGTTGTAGTCGTACCGAACTTCACTGAAATAAGGAATAATTTTGCCTTTAAAAATTTTTACAAAGAAAAAAGCAACATACATGGTTTTGCTGTCGATCTTAACATCACATGCATTCGGGAAGCGCTTTCTGTACTCATCGGAGTTGAAGTTTGCCTCGTTAGCCTCGATGGTGTAGTCGACGAGCCTAACCTCCTTGCCAATCAATTTGTGATTGGCGACTCCGACGCTTCCGTCATTGTTGGACTGTCCGGGTACTTCAACCACGAGGAATGTTGCGATGACGAGCAGCAGCAAGGAGCACAGCGTTGACGACTTTCTTGTTCCAGGGCCGATGTCGAGGTCCATTGGAAGAAGGCAGCGGACCAGCATGGAGAGTGTTGTTGTTGTTTTTAACGTAGAGATGTGAAGACTGTTTTGTAGAAGTTGTTGTGAACGAAAAGAAAGTGGAGGCTTTTATAATACAAAAAAATTTATAAGAACTTAACCGTTTTACTATAAAAACTTGTAAGCCTCTAAGCATTCTATCACATGGTCTTCTGTTTTCGCTGCCGCTGTTGTTTGGTTCAAACTCGCTTATTTGCAAGGATGGCAATGCCGTTTTATCGTTTTGGACGTCCCATAGTGAACAGGCTCAAACACCTCTTGGATCGCTGCATTTTGAACTTCCCAGAAAGGACTACCTCAACTTGGCAAGCTGCTCGCAATAAAATGTCAAAAAAGAAAAACAAAAGGAGGCTTTACAACCGTCGTGGAAGACACAACGTGACAAGCTCTAGTACGTTTATTCAAATGGGTACAGCCCAAAACGGCGCGCGGCCATAACGGCGCAAAGCTATAACTTGGTGGATAATGTCCGGCTCTTAACAATTTTGGTACCAATCTCCTCAGCTCGATGAGAGGACTCGTTTAGTACTAAATTTGACAAGATTAGGTTATCTTGAAATGAGTTATGGCTTTGCGCCGTTACGACCGCGCGCCGATCTTGGGCGTGTCTCGTTCAAATATCCTTCGCTTTCTAACTATAAATTTAACAAATTTTAGCGGGAAGCACAACTGTTACCACCACCACCACTTCTTCGTCTTCTAGCACACATTACGAAAATATTCCAACTTTTTCGTCATCATCGTCAAATAATGCTCATCGAAGACCTTTGCCAATCAACGACGGTGTCTATTCCTTAATGAGACTTGGCGATTTAGTACGTGTGAGAAATCCAGAAGATGGTGTATCTGTTCCGAATACAGATGAAGACTACTATTATATAAGCAGCAATAGTGGGGAGGAAGATGGTGAGAGTCCTTAAAAGTGGTCTATAAACAATAATAGTCTTCCTTCTTTTAAGATCAACAAGAGGTGACTACTGCTATTGAGTACGTGCCGTCCTGTCCAGGTCCTCATATGAAGCAAGCTGTCAGTAATGTACGCAGATTGTCTTCTGTACGGCAAACAAAGTCGTGTGGAGACTTGCCCAATTTGTTGAATGTGGAGGATGACGATTCTTATGGTATGGAGAAGAAAACCTCTGTTTGATAACTTAAAACTCAAATTTAGGTGAATATGAGGACGAAGAGAACGGGACGACCAACAACTATTCGAGCAGTTATTCAAACGATGCAGACGTGTCTTCATCTTGTGACGAAGAGGAGGAGGATAATTTCTATTCTACTCGTAGCTGGGATAGTTATGGTGGGTTTCTAGGTTGATTTATCAAATTCTCCAACAATTTTAGATCAATCTTCTTGCTCCGAATCTGTTTCATACTCGTCTTATTCGGAGGAAAGCAATGTCAGCTTCTCTACATCTTCTGCCACAACAGCTTTCTCGCTTGTTGGCAAAACTGTTCGTGTTGTTTCATTCAAACAGTCGAATATGCGACTTAATCCTGAGAATATTCGAGAGTCTAATGTAACCGAGGTGCCAAGATCTTCACAACACAAAGACGAGTCGTCTTCACAAGATGAGTATTTTAGGGCAACAAATGAACTGTCGTCCAATTCGTCGGAAATGTATTACTCTGATGCAGTCTCTGAAGAAAAGGTGGTAGATTCTATTAAATAAACTTTAAGAGAAACTTAAGTTTACAAACTTGAAAAATATTTAAGTTTATGCGAATCAAGTTTGAACTTGAAATTCTGAGGACAATGTTAATAAACTTGAAATGAAACTTAAGTTTGCAAACTTAAAAATATTCAAGTTTGAACTTGAATTTGTGAGGACAAACTTAATAAACTTGAAAATAAACTTAAGTTTGCAAACTTAAAAATATTCAAGTTTGAACTTGAATTTTTGAGGACAAACTTAACAAACTTGAAAATAAACTTAAGTTTGCAAACTTAAAAATATTCAAGTTTGAACTTGAAATTTTGAAATGACAAACTTAATAAACTTGAAAATAAAGTTTTAAGGAAAACTTAGGTTTACAAACTTAAAAATAAAAACTTGGTAATTAACTCACTCTTTTTTAATTATTAGGTGCCCAGATTAATGCCAGAATACAACCTATACAGTACGCAGCAAGAATTCCGAAATTGTGCCGTTGAAGCTTGCAATATGAACACATTTCTACAACTGATTGAATGTTCATTTCCTCAAGAATGGTTCGAAAAATAATTTTTATTTTTCATAAAAAAATTTTTTTTTCAAGCTCTGAACAGATTCTAAACAACTTATTCTTCGATTATCGTCAACTTGTATGTCAAAAAATGTGGGAAGAGGAACAACAACAAAAGCAACAAAAAGAGGAAATGAATAAAAGTAATGAAACTGATTGTGAAAATGAAAAATTGGATGAGGAGAATGATGATTATTTTTGGTCATAAAGAAGGGATATATTGAAGGGATATATGAAGGATATGTCAAATAAATATGTTTTGTACATGAATAAATTAGATAAATTTTCTGAGATTGTCTTTCTTGTTCGTCCATTTTCTACTAACATTTTGTATTGTTATTGTAAATTTGGATGGTAAAAAATGTGTTGTTAATTTTTGAAAGTTCGCTTTCAAACTAGAAGGCTTTTCTATAATTTAAAAATCTTTTTCTAGTGAACCCTTTTCAAGTTTGTAAACTTAAGTTTTATTTTTACTATAATTCAAGTTCACGAAGTTAGTCAAGTCTATTTTTGTTCAACAATCCTTTAGATGAATTTTTAGCATATGTAGTTCAAATCGGGGTAATTGCGAGCTCGGAATATTTTAAATATTGGATAGCTTAAATATGGTCTATCAAGACCAGAAGAATTTTGGAGAGATCTGTTGTCACTTCATAACTGATGAAGGTTAAGAGAATTTAAGAAAATTCATTATTGATGAAATGACGTTACATCCTCTAATATTCCCCTAATAGTATAGTACAAGTGGTTCATTAAACAAATTATGGCATGTTTGAATCCTTGAGAGATTTGACTAATAACATCTACCCTCAATTCAGCTTACTGTACCCTTCACACTACCCATTGTTCCCTACGCCTTACTCTTCTCCCCAAAAATTATTTTGAATAAATCCAATAAATTTTACAAGTTTTTTTTTCTGATTCATTCATTTTCTCACTTTATTTATGTCTTTATGGCCATAAATTTTGTGTAAAAAAAGAAAAAAATTCTTCCCAATGAAGAGCTCTAAAATTGGTTATTTAGTAGTTACACACTAACTTCCTTTTGTTTATTTGTCTATTTTCAAAAAAATTTTTTTTCTGGACTTCTGGCCCACAAAAAAATTTATTTTTATATTTTTCTTTTCTAAATATTCTCCTTTCTCTATTACCCCCTTGTTTCCTTTTTTCTTTTAAAAAATTTATTTATTTTGTATATCCATGTGTTTTTATACTTGCTTGCTAGGAATGGGTTAACAAATTGTTTGAGGGAGTGAATTGGAAAAACTGAAAGAAACTGAAAAGTGATGACCAGAAGTTTGAGAATAAAATTATTTGGGAAAAGTTTCAAGTGTTTTGATGAGAAATTTAAAAAAATTTCGGAAAAAATTTGGCACGCACTCAAAATATGACGTTTCAGTGCCAGACTTATATCTCCCTAATAGGTGAGCTTTTTGAAACAATTTAAATTAAAATAGATAGAGAATTAAATTTTCTATAAAATAAGCTGTCTAAAAAAGCTGGAAAAATTCTAAATAGCAATGAATCAGGCAAAAAAGTTTTTTCAGTCTAAAGCCCTTATTCATGATTTTCAGAGCATGCGTCCCTATAGCCTATAAGAACTCATCCCAAAAATGGCAAAAAATGATGGGTCTTGATCCTGAGTGCCCTCCAATGTATTGTTGTTTAACCGTACAACCATCCCATCATCTACAGATCGTTTTCATTTTTTCTCTATTTGAAAGGCTGGGAGGAAACACCTCGGAAGCTGAGAGGAAACACCTCAGAAGATAAATTTTACTTTACTTGGGATCATTTCTGATTCACATAACCATCACTATTTATTCGATTACACAATTAAAAGACGTAAAGATAAGACTAGAGATCGGACCGTACCGTACTACGGCCGTATTTTTCGGTATTTATCGGTATTCCGTATCGGTAGTACGGTACGGAATACGGTACGGAAAAATCTTTTTAAAAAATACGGTACGGAATACGGTACCGATGAAAAATATCGGTATTTCTCGGTATTTATCGGTATTACGGTCGGTAATACGGTACGGAATACGGTACGGCAACATTTTGAATTTCATCGGTATTTTTCGGTATTACGGTACGGAACAAAATTCCGATCTCTAGATAAGACTAAGATGAAAAAAAATTTTCTTTTTAAAGGCGGTTTTTCCTGTAAGACATTTCATCCCAAGCATCCACTCTTTTATTTTTTAAGGATCTAAAGAGAGAACCTACAAAAATTGAATGAGTGTATTTTTCAGCGAATAAGGAAAATGCGCGTCTGGCAAAGAAAAAAATTTTGTTTGAAGGGGCGTGGTAGTTGAGTAATAAACACTCTTCCCCAATTCACATCCATAAATCTACCGTTGCTGTATTTTAGAAATTAAACATTTTTTAATTTTATAAATTTTTTTATTATTGACTTGATTGATTAAAAAAATTTTTTTTGAAATTTTCTGGAGCTGTGCGGTCATATGATCCAACGATTTTTTGTTAGTATTAAAGTAACTCGAGTTGGTCCATAAAACAATAACTACAAGGCTTTTTGAGCATAAGACATCTTTTCTTAATTAAAAAAAATTTTTTAATTGTAAATTCTCATCAAGTCCCCTTTCATTTACTAGACTTGTATGACTAACCAAATTCTTTTAAAAATGCCGCGTGAATAGAATAAAAACGTGCAGTATCATTAAAGGAATGTGAATAAGAATAAGTATAATTAAAATACAAAAATCACACTCTACCAAAAATATTTTTTTAATTCATTTACATTAATTAAAATAAATAGTCAGCAGATCACACACTACGAAAAATACTAGAAAATACATTATTTTTTATTTGTCCACTGGGTACGGGAACCTCCTAGGTGATGCCCCCTCTAGTTAACCCTCTTAATGATAACTTCTATTTAATCAACACCCCATTATAAGGTAAAATAAGATAGTCTCTTATACTGAGCGGTATCTAATACTAGGAGTACCTCTATTTAATGCACACCTCTATTTAATGCACACCTCTATTTAAGCGATACCTTCTATTTAATCAACATCTCATTATAAGCTACAATTTTTCCAGCCCCCAAGGGGTATATCCTATAACGAGATCAGACAGTTATAAAATCAACATTTAAAATTACTTGCTCTTTGGCCTCTTTCATTTTTATTTAAGCATTTTTCTTATTTCTCTAATTATTTTTGTTCACCAAAAAAATCATCGTTTTTGTCTATATCACATAATTTGTTTGCCTAAATTTTTTTGTTTGATTTCCTCATTTTTTCTTTTATTTTTCCATGCCATACCGATCATCTCTTAACTTTATTTTTTTATTTTTTTTGTCGGTGTCGAAGGTTAAAAGACTCTTGAGCATTTGTTTTAAGGCTTAAAACTAAGGGGGATTTGACTGCGCGAGAATGAAAGAAAAAAAGAAAAAAAAATATTTTAGAGAAGAAAAATAATTCCTAGAGCAACCTGAGAACCTTTTTAAATCGTTAAAATGATTCTCCCTTCTTTCCATCTGTTTTTCGGAACAGACTTGTGGAGAGAAGAAAGGTAAAAGGCGGAAAATGAAAAATCAAGCACTTGCTGCGCAAACAATAAAAATTGAAGAAAAAGCTTTTTTGAACACAAAATAATAAATAAATAAATATATAAGAGGAATGTCAAACGTTAAATATTTCTTCCATCTTTTTTAAAGCTTAAGTAAAAATCATTATATAAAAAGCATGCGTTCTCAATCTTAAAATTCGCTTTTTTTAAAAGTAAACTTGAATTTATATTATTTTACCTATATATTCTTATTAATTTTTTTCGCAAACTTGACTTTATCTAAAACTTAAGTTTCCCAAACTTGATAATTACAAACTTGATTTTTTATTAAACTTGAGTTCGTCCCAAACAGGTTTTCTCAAACTTGAATTAATTTTAAGCTTAAACTTGAGCTTAACTTAAACTTTTAAGCTTAAGCTTAAACTTTTAAGCTTAAGCTTAAACTTGATTTTCTAAAGTTTCTTTTTTCAGACTTAAGTTTTACAACTTGATAATTGCACACTTAATTTTTAATAAACTTGACTTTTCTTAAAACTTGATTTTTACAAACTTAAGTTTTACAACTTGATTTTCCCTAAACCTTAAGCTTAATCTTAAATCTTAATTAAACTTAAATTTATATTATGTTTATATTTTCTGTGGTATTCCTTCCCAAATTCCAAAAATTCTTTTTTAATTTAAATTTTTTCCCTTTTTTAATTTTCACATGATTTAAAATCACACAATTACTAATTAAATAATTCTTTTGTCTAATTTTCCCTTCCTTTACCCACAGAAGTTGATCAAAAGCCACCTTCCCTCCAATTACTCATTCTCCCATTATTTTTAAATTTTCTCTTTATTCTCTCAATTAAAGCCTATTTTTCTCTATCACAACTGATCAGACAACACATTTTTATTTTACTCGTGCCCCTAAAGTCTATTTATTGGTATATGAGTGTGTGTGACATTTCGTCCCACAAGGCTATTTTTCTTTTTTTTCAGAAAAATTTATTTTTTAGGAGAAATTTATTTTGGGCTTCTGCCAAAACAAACACTACCTAATCTTCTTTCTAATCACTTTTTCATGAAAAAAAATATTTTTCTTCTTTTTCCCTTTAACACTTTTCCTGCCCCTTTCCCCAATAGCCTTGCTTGCCTTAAGGGGCTCTTATTAGGCGGCTACTTCTCCCCTCTTCCCTCCCCCCTTCTTCTCCTCTTGATTTTCCCGTGATTTTTGTTTTTGTTTTTTTTAAACGATTCCCCTCCTTCTGTCCATTTTCCTTATTTTTTTACATTAACTTGATCTGTTTACATTTTTTAAATGTTTTCTTAACGTGAAAAGTTTCGGGGAGAAAATGTTACTTTTAAACATTACAATATTTTTATATGTTTTTAATAATTCTTTTTTTCTCCTTGATTGTCTAGACAATAATGTAGTATAGAATTAAAACATAAAACAGAAAATATATAAAAAATGATTGAGCTTGTTTTTGGTGCCAGCTGGTAAATTTTAAGTATTTTTCTGGGGGGTTTCTGATTTTTTTCTGATTCTGATTTTAAAAAATTCTGATTTTTTCAGAATTTCTTGTTTTTTTCTGATTTTTTTCTGTTTCCGATTTTTAAAAATTCTGATTTTTTAATTCTGATTCTGATTTTTGAAAATTCTGATTTGTTTCTGATTCTGGTTTTTTTTTTTTCAGAATTTTTTAATTCTGATTCTGATTTTTGAAAATTCTGATTTGTTTCTGATTCTGGTTTTTTTCAGAATTTTTTAATTCTGATTTTT